AAAGGCCTACACACATGTTTTAATGACAGACACAGCAAAGATTGATCCAATGTCATTAAATGGACGTATGTCTGTCACACACATTCGTCTGTCAAACTGACATTTCACGCGATTGTGATGAATCGCCCATGGGCGGTAATCGACTACAACAGCTTTAGTGCTTATTAAATCGCTTTTTGAGAGTATCGAGTGTATATTTTTATAGTATCGCTGTTAATTGTACTTCGATATGGAGAAAAGATAGTAAACAACAAATGCAATAACGTGTTACAAACAACGGCGTTTTGAAACATACGCGATTTCTAAAAAGGTTTATTTCCCAGAATCCACCATGGCCGGCTACTCGTACTTGTAGTATTTGAGCTACGATACTTTCTGTGCAAGTACGACTCGTATGGACCTCGCCCACCCCTTTCACATCAATGTTGTCTTTTAATTAGGATGTCAAAAATAAATGTAACTTTGCCCTTTTCTCGGCCAGCAGATACTGGTGTCTTAAAAATACAGAAATATTTTTTTTTCAACGAATGAAATCCATATATATCATATATGGTCTAGATTGGATTAAAAAGGAAGAAGACGTATTTTCTTATAATAAATTTAGGTTTTAAAAAGTAAACACTTTGTTTGGTAAAATTTCTTATCTTGGACTAAATGCAGCAGATAGCGATATTTTTTTTTCTCGCGTTGTGTACCGTTGGCATTCAGTTTGATACAAACTTACATTTATTTTAATTAAACAATACTATGTTCTCAGCAAATACTGACTGTATTAGCCCCCATGATTTGAGACCCTCTCTTAACGCTAATTATAATAATCTCCACGCGACCTAGAAGAATGTGGCCCAGAAAGTACTGGCAACATTAGTCCCCATAATTTGAGACCCTCTCTTTACGCTAATTATAATGATCTCCACGCGACCTAGAAGAATGTGGCCCAGAATTCCCTACTGCGTTCGCTCTTTCAAGCCCCCCCCCCCCAGTCCCGAGTACATGAGAACGTCTTTAAATTGGTAGGTTCATCGCGCCCCTGGGGTCGTGGAGCTAATTCTCCTGGAGCGTCCTATCTACCTCGGCTAGGTAGAAGTACCTGGCTACGCCCTGCTGGGGAGAGGTCGGTTCCAGATTATCTAGTCAGGTGAAAGGGTAACGAGTTTATGTTGGGTCTATCCCATCTTAGTCCTGAACTGGGGTTCAAAAGGCAATGACCGACTGTGTTTTTGGGTTGAGTGGTGATTGTGTGAGGGTTGAAAAGTTCAAATCCTGTCTGGAAGGGGGGTCGTCCATAAATGACGTCACACTCATAGGGGGGAGGGGGGTCCGTAATTTTGTGACGGCTGAGGTGTGACGTCATTTTAGGGGGAGGGGTCTGGCTTTGTGTGACGGAGGGGAAGGGGAGGTAAAAATCGTCAAAAAAGCGTGACGTCATTTAAGGATGACCCCTAGGTCCGAGGTAGTTTGACCATTGCGACTATCGATGACGTCATGGCTGATATCATGTGGCTTTATGGTTATGCAATATGGCTGATGTCGCATTTTTACATTAGATGAGTGTCATTATGGCTGATGCCACATTCATCAGTAGACCTTGCCTAGCACTAGCATGTGACCTAACTCACTCAACATTTTTTATGTCAGTTAGCCGTACTCCCTCCCTAGACAAACACCCCCTCAGACATGCCCGCGGCCCAGGAGTGGCTGGTTTGGTCACGTGCCTGTGTTTACTTCTATTGACCACGTCTGTCGGGAAACTTGACCAGTCGAATGGTGTCCGAAGTGAGTTAAAACCTGGCACTAGCAGTTACGTAACTCAGCACTGTCTTTACACAGCCTATTTTACAAGACGGGCTAGTCTCGCTAGATACATCTTCATCTTAGGACTAGCTCAAAAATATGAAACATGGGAAGTTGATACGCTAACATATTTATTCGCGCATTTATTCTTTCAAGTTGAAAGGGTCAAACTATTTATGTTCATCCCGATGCCCCCTCCCCTTCACAAAATACGACCCATCGAAGGTTTATATGGGATTTAGTACCCTGCCCAGTAATGGTTTATGGGTTACTGTTGTGCTCTGTCACATATCCCTCATGACATCAGCAGATCCAATCTTGCCGACCTCAGCTCTGTCACCTGTGTATCTGCCCGGGATTAATTTAGTATCTGACCATTTGAAATGCTCTATCTGCCCATCTGACGTCAAGATAAACATACCACCATGTCCAGCAGAGAGTTGCCAGAGCCAACCAATCAACTGATTCTAAAATTAACGTATCTTACAGAAAATGGCTTCACAACCCTGAAACTGACACATCAGACATCATTCCTAAAGCTGACACATCAGCCCTCATACTGACCGATCTCCTCAACCCAAAAACTGACATATCATCAGCCTTAAAACTGACCCATGATCAGCCATAAAACTGACCCATCATCAGCCATAAAACTGACCCATGATCAGCCATAAAACTGACCCATCAGCCATAAAACTGACCCATGATCAGCCATAAAACTGACCCATCAGCCATAAAACTGACCCATCAGCCATAAAACTGACCCATTAGCCTTTTAAAATTGACCCATCAGCCATTAAACTGACCCATCATCAGCCATAAAACTGACCCATCAGCCATAATACTGACCCATCAACCATAAACCTGACCCATCAGCCATAAACCTGACCCATCAACCATAAAACTGACCCATTAGCGATAAAACTGACCCATTGACCATCAGTCCTTAAACTGTCCCCATCTGTTACACAACATCCCCACTTCACACTACCCAACCCCTCTCCTGTAGTCCCATCTCATCAAAACAAAGATAACCAATCCAACATTTTCAAACACCATTAGATAAGATAAAGGGACACGCGTCGGCCATTTTGAAAGTAACGGACAGCGTGTCAGGTGTGTAGTTGACAGCAGACGATTCACTGGTAAATCGGACACGGTGTTAATTGTAACCAACTTTTATAACAGCCGTACGGAAATGGTGTTTTTCCGTACACACCTGTTGTTTTTCGATCCTCCAATGGGGGCCAAGAGTCATGCGACACCACAGGTTGCCATAGCGATCACGTGCTAGTCTCCCAGCTGTAGCCATAGATTGGAGTGACCTCCCTGTATTTTTCTCATTATCTTTTGTGGTCGTATACGAATTATTTATCGCAGTCATCCCCGCTTACGGCACATGTTGCATGCGCAAGGTAAAATAATTTTGGTTTGTTTTTGTCGACCTTATAAAATTTGTTCTGTCACCTGTCTTAATAAGTTCTTAATATTTTATTTCGCGTCCTTTAATAATAACTTTTCTGGGAATTCCCCTTGAGGAATAGTGTTAGATGAATACTTGAATTGAGCAGTTTTTCCCGGAAATGGTTTATTTACATTTGTAAACATTGAAGCCCAATGGGCGTGTACTAGATCTACATGTATGTACCGAATGCATCAATAGTCTGGAAACAAATACTCAATAATGCTGGTCCTAATCGTAACCTTCATCAAACAGTGATATCAGCATGAAACCAAAACATATCAGTGTGCTATTATCAAATGAATAAAGCGGTACTTGTATCCTACCAGCTAAAAGCAGTAAAAGATTATTTTCATATTGTATGTTGCATTGTTTTCGACCAAACATTTAAACATTGTAGCCTCTATAACGTTATCCTGATCGTAACTAAACAGGCAACCAAAACATGGTTTAAAACATCCCAATTTATCCCTAAACAGCCAACCAAGATATATAAAACTTTAACCCATCCATCCCCGGTCAACCAAAACACCATAGAAAAGATTAACCCTTCCATCCCTAGACAGCCAAAAAAAACACCATTTAAAATAATTAACCCTCCAATCCCCACTCAACCAAAACAGAAAACATTAACCCTCCCATTTCCAGTCAATCGAACCACCATATAAAACATTAACCCTCCAATCCCCAGTGAACCCTAACACCATATAAAACATTAACCCTATAATCCCCAACCAAACCACCATATAAAACATTAACCCTCCAATCCCCAGACAATCCAAACCACCATATAAAACATTAACCCTCCAATCCCCAGTCAAATAAACCACCATATAAAAACATTAACCCTCTAATCTCCAGTTAACCAAACCACCATATAAAACATTAACCCTCCCATCCCCAGTCAACCATACCACCATATAAAACATTAACCCTCCAATCCCCAGTCAACCAAACCACCATATAAAACATTAACCCTTCAATCCCCAGTCAACCAAACACCATGTAAAATATTAACCCTCCAATCCCCAGTCAACCAAACACCATGTAAAATATTAACCCTCCAATCCCCAGTCAACCAAACACCATATAAAACATTAACCCTCCAATCCCCAGTCAACCAAACACCATGTAAAACATTAACGCCTTAATACCCAGCCAGTCAATCAAAACATTAACCCTCCAATCCCCAGTCAACCAAACACCATATAAAACATTAACCCTCCCATCTCCAGTCAATCAAACCACCATATAAAGCATTAACCCTCTAATCCCCAGACAAACCACCATATAAAACATTAACCCTCCAATCCCCAGACAATCCAAACCACCATATAAAACATTAACCCTCCAATCCCCAGTCAAATAAACCACCATATAAAACATTAACCCTCTAATCTCCAGTTAACCAAACCACCATATAAAACATTAACCCTCCCATCCCCAGTCAACCATACCACCATATAAAACATTAACCCTCCAATCCCCAGTCAACCAAACCACCATATAAAACATTAACCCTTCAATCCCCAGTCAACCAAACACCATGTAAAATATTAACCCTCCAATCCCCAGTCAACCAAACACCATGTAAAATATTAACCCTCCAATCCCCAGTCAACCAAACACCATATAAAACATTAACCCTCCAATCCCCAGTCAACCAAACACCATATAAAACATTAACCCTCCCATCTCCAGTCAACCAAACCACCATATAAAACATTAACCCTCCAATCCCCAGACAATGAAAAAGCTGCCCAGATGTTAACCACCTCACTGAGCCAGCGCCAGGATCTGGTGGAAGGTTTGGACGCTGATGCCATACTGGACTACCTCTCACACCACGGTGTCCTAGACCCCAACATTCTCATTGGTTTGGGTAAGTCAAAGACTGGCATTCTGCAAGTCTTAAGTGTGTCACACTACAAGTCTTACAGTAGACAAACTAAAAGCCTTCAGTGTGTCACTCTACAAGTCTTACAGTAGACAAACTAAAAGCCTTCAGTGTGTCACTCTACAAGTCTTACAGTAGACAAACTAAAAGCCTTCAGTGTGTCACTCTACAAGTCTTACAGTAGACAAACTAAAAAGCCGGAAGTGTGATATACCCTTACATCAAAGACTGTCATTCTGTAAGTGTGAAATACCCTTACATTAAAGACTATGTTAATCTACAAGTCTTAAATTAGACAAACTAAAAAGCCTTCAGTGTGATATAACTCTACATCATATATCCAGGATTTATATGGAGCAAGAAGATAAGATTCTTATATCAGATACACAGGGTCTGATTTAGAGATATGAGTATTACATCAGAGAAAACTAAACAACACATTTAAGTGGTATATTGTGGAGCCAGTTGTGCCTCTCCTGTGCTGAAAATTACTTAAATGAAGCAGATTCTACTGTTCTGATTTATTAGTTTAGTGCTCCCCTGCCTGATTGAATTGTATTGAAGTAAAACTTATTAAATATAGTATGCAGAGTGTGCCTGCACATGCAACCAGTTGTATTGCATCCTGGCAAAATGTTGATATGTGCCAGAACAATTTTTCACATGTTGGCCAAAACACATTTTGTCACAGCTGGCTCAAGCATACACATTTGCACTTTAGTGTTCAATTACTGTAAGCACCTTAAAGGATGTTTAAATAAATGCTTTTTAGCTTAACAAAGTTAAAGAGCTCAATTTTGTAGTGATTTTTAAGAAGATTGTAGCAAGTAGTTATGAATCGTATTTTGATAACAAGAAGCTGCTTGAAAACTAATACACAACTTTTGTCCCCCCTGACAGACAAGGGTTCCAATCCAAAGCAGCGCAACTCAGCCATACTGAAACACGTGGAGGAGCATGGGAACACTGCTGTGGCCCTCTTCATCAACGCCCTCAGACAGTCGGGGCAGCTCCACCTGGCCAGCTCGCTGGACACTGAGCAGAGGATCAAGCCAGTCTCAGGGGACGGCTATTTCGGCAAAGACAGGCACAAAGGTGGGTGAAGAGGGATAGGTAGTTTAACATTAAGAACAATCACCCTGTAGACAATAGTTTTTAAAACAAAAAATAGCTAACTCACTTCACACCTCAACCTAGTTGAGACAATGTGAAGCACTGGGGGGGAGTTAAGTATAAGCCTGGCAGAAACACAGGACCATGCCTGTCAACATGGGTGTGAGTTGTGCTTGACTCTTTATCCTGTTGTACCATGCCTGACTTTGAAGCATTGCTCATAACAATACAATAGCAAGTGTGTGGAACATTTTAAATGAAACGAAAGTGCTACTGCTTTAGTAATGATAGTGTTTACTTGCTGTTTAAATGTGACAGACAGATAAGATAATGCTTTTGAGCATAAATCTAAGCCGAAAAAGCTAACTCATTATTATATGAATAATGCCAACAGACTAGTAAAATTAATCTTAAAGTAGACCCTTTAAAAAGTGTGATGTATATGTTAAACATCACAGCCAACAATAAAATGTATTTTTCTTCCACAGGAGAAGTTACTGTAAGAGTTGAGTTTGAGGCTCTGAAAATCCTGGCTCCGAGAGAACCCAGAACAGACAAAATAGTGGACACCTCTCTCCTTTCATCCCCCTCCCACCACACAGGTCTGACGCCAGATGAGGTGAACGGTGCCCTCGTCAAAGACGACAACGACGACGATTTCGTCAAGCCGAGGTCATGCTGGTGCTTTTGCTTTTCTCGCAAGAGTAAATCAAAAAGGGCGTCGTCTTTACCAAAGAAGGATAGTGAGAAGAAGAAAAAATTTCATTCGATCAAAGAAGCTGAAGATTTACCACCGAAAAGTCAGGCGGAGCATGAGGAAGTGGATAGAAAAAATCCCAACGTGAAACCCCACAGGACAAAATCTAAGGAGAAAAACAAAAAGAGCAAAGATTCCGGGACCAAAGGTGCCTCAGGCGAATGCCCTGACCAGCATGGTGACACAGCCAAACCAAAGGGAAAAGACAGCAACAAAAAGTCCAAAACAAGCAAAACTAAATCCTCAGGAAAATCAACTGTGCCTGATCAATCTGATGTGGGCTCGGGGATGGGGGATGTAGGAGAATCTGGCATCAGCTCCAGGGAACAACCCACCCACCAGAACTACAGTAACACCAGCCCGCCTGCTTCCTTGGGGCGGATGAAACCGGATAAAGACAGCTGGGATCCGATCATTATGGAATACGATCCCAAACTGGAGCTGGTGAAGTTACGAGCTGGCCAGGAAGAGCTTGCCTCACCCACCAGACAGTACGGCCAGGTTGGCATCATGTGTGAGCAGTGGAAGTCAAGCGGGAAACATTTCTTACAAAAAGCATCACAGCTCTGCGGTAAAATAATTCAGGAGCTTCACACGGAGATTATCAAATATTTCGAACAAGACCGGGGCACGCTCGTGTTGGACGTCATCTCCGATGGCACGGCCATTTTAATCTTCAACATCTGCATGCAGCGCGTGGAGGTGAGTCACCTGCAACAGCAAGTGTCAGATGGAAGTTTGATTTCTAAAATGGAGGATATGTTTTTTTCGAAAGTGGATATTACTGCGTTTGATATTCGAGGTGTGAAGTTGAAAATTGTTCTGGACGACCAGCAAGTGAAAGCTGCTTTTTCAGAACTTTCCTGAGCTGCTGACTGGAATGCTGATTTGTTTTGTTTTTTTCGCAAGATGATTGTAAAAAAAAAAAATCAACACCCAACAGTAATCGGTGCAGTGCTATTAATATATTGCTAAGAGTTTTGTTTTAGATTAGTTTATAGTTCTATTATTTTAGAGATTTCGTGTACATCTAGTTAATTTTTTTTAAACATGGATTAGATTTTTAAAACATGGAGAAGATTAATCCATACTTATAAACAATTTTACCCCTGTTTTGTTTACACTATTTAATATATTGTAATGCTTCACAGCACTTTTTAATTCCAGCTTTTGTAACTTTTTTATCTTTGCACAGTGCTAGCAGTGAGTTTTTAAAAATTCCGGACTGACAAATTTTTTTCTAATTTATGCGTGTGGCCTTTAACATTTTACCATCGGAGGCCTTGCTATTTTGACTTTAATCTGACAATAAAATTTTTATGTTCTTTTTGAAATAAAGACAAATAATCTAATACAAACTTTGTGTAGTAGCTTTTACGTTAACCACCGAAACAAATATTCTTAGTTGACAAACTATTTTAGAATTTTAATTCATTATTTACCTAACTCCAGCAAACATGCTAAATATACAAAAAAAAAATTATATTGTACTTTTTCCTATAATTTTAAAATAACCACTGATTTTTTAAAATACATGCAATCTTCCAAAATGCAAACAACAGCTTTTAAATGCATGCTATTTTTTTTTACACATTTTAGTATATACACAATTTTGAATATTGCTTTTTAAAGTGAGTTATTTTAAAATATAATGTAAAAAAATAAAATTTCGTTTTTTTTTAAAAACTAACCTGTAAAGGTGGTGCTACTACTAATGTCAGAACTCTCATATTTGCATTTGCCCACAATTAAAAATAAAATTCTATACAAATCCTGACTATGATTAAATTAAAATTTTCAGGCCATTTTCTTGAAAAATGGTTGTACATTTGAATTAGTTTTCAACTCAAAACATTTAAGGCCCATGATTGAACTGCGCTTGTCTTTCATTTGTCATACATTTAAAGATTATTGAACCACATTGCCCACTATTTTCATAAATTTTACACTAAAAAAAAAAACAAAGTGTATTTAAATATATCAATATATTGTAGCCTAGTATACCTTTTTAAGTTGGTGATTTCATTGCACATTTAGCATATTGATAAGTGTATACGTTACACTTTAGAAAGCTACAGACCTATTTAAACACTACATTATACATTATTGTATACACTTACCTATATCTATTAAACAAAAGCTAAATTTAAACACTACTTTATAAAGCATATTAATAAAAGCCTATATAAAACGTTTTAGAAAACTAAGTCCATATGTATTGTTAGATTACTGCAGTGTTGTCTTATATGGCCTAAAGACAAGTGCAAATACGCTTAGCCTTAAGAAACGGTATTATTGGGACACTGCTTTTATGTGAAAGCATTATTCACTGCATGGCAGTACTATTATAAAGGGTTACTATATGTAAGGTGAACCACAAAAGAGACACAATATGAAAGACAATAATTCCATTATGACCAAGTTAATTATAAAATTAATCATTGTTATGACCACAATATTTTTTTGTTCGACCACATTATCATTAATTTATCACTCTGACAACTTAAGTTAAGTGAATCATTTAATTGCAAATGGTTTTTAATTCATCATGACCTTGAAATCATTTAAATAAATTTATTTAATTAGTTTATGCATGAGAGAGTGACAGACAGGCATTGATTAGTTGCTTCCCTTTAAGGTATGAAATGATTACTTCCCTTACAGTTATCAACAGACTCCTAAAAATTATATGTAAATGTGTGCTACAAACTTGTAAAATGTAACTTTTTATTTTTACAAGTGCCTATTTTTATTTTTCAGCAATGTCATTAAAAAAAATTAATTAAAAAAGAAACCACAGCCTTGTTAGAGCAAGCACCATTTCTCTGGCATAAGAAGAGGTGTATATATATAACAGAGTTTTCTTGGGCAATTGTTTAGTACCTCAGTCCCAAGTGTAAACATTTTACATATGTTTGTTTCTTTGTTTCGTTAAAAAAATAATTTTCTAAAAATTCCCACTTCTTAATTTGTGGCAATTTGAGATGAAAAAAACATTTTTAATGGGAGTTAAGAATGGAATATACTCATGAGTTCTGTCCCATTGTATACATGATGTAAATAGTTCTAGAATAGTGTCTTTCATTCTTTTGGTCTGTGTGATGGTATGGTTGTACAGAATATATCTAAACATTTTTTTTCTTTTGTGATAAATCAGAAGGTAAATAATAATTTTGAAGTGTGAAAAACAAAAATTCATTTAATTTTCCTATTATTGATGGGTGTTCGTAGACCACAAATTAAAAAGGACTATTTCAGTTTTTTAATGGTACTATATTTTGTATTGCCAAAATAAGAAAAAAATATTTGGTCCAAAATTGTCCAATATGTCACTGAGTAAACTACTACTCAATAACCAACAAGCAGACTGTCAACTGAGATTACTTAATAGAAGAAAAAATGTTTCTGGCACTATGGTGATTTTTTTTTCTGCTGTAAAAATTCAATCCCCGGTTTTATTTTCTACTGGATTCTCCAGTAATTTTAACAATTAAATCATCATTACATTTTATACTGCTAGGATCTAATACTAGCCATTGACTTGGCAAAACTATCATTATTTTTTTTTGGGGCAAAAAAATAAATAAATAAATTCATTATCTTGTGTGACATGCTTAGTTAATAAATCCATAAAATGCTATTTAAAAATTCATTAATAGCAATTTTTAAAACAGGTTTACACAAATGATTCCTATCATGAGGTTTATACCTGGAATGTTTTATAAATACAATGCTTGATACATCAATACAGTTATTTGATGAGAATGAACATAAAATTTGAGAACCATAGCTGCTGAGAAATGAAAGAGATGAAATCATACAGATGAGAATAAAGCAGGCATAGCAGGTTTGTAATGATGTCAATTTAGTGAACCTGTCATAATGCCTGCGGTATGAACCTGTAAGGACAGTGCCTGTAATGTGTAACATCATTACACCTGTAAACCACAGGTGTAATATTTTTTTATCAAATTTAGTTAGTTTATTGATTGCCTGTAAAATATCAGTTGTTTAGTTTGAAACATTAGTTTTTTTTTAAGCACACTGTGTGACAATTAATACTCTGTGGTGACCATTCATTAATACTTAACAGAAACATATAAGCACCCAAATCTTATCTATTTACAATGGTCCAAGTGGTTATAGTTCTAGTATAAAGATAGATCACTTACCCTCTGTATGCTTAATACATAAAAAAACAAACTTAGATTGCCTTTGTCTTATATTATTGTCCAGATAAATTGTTTTATAGAAGTATTTATATACTTTTTTTTTCTATTGGCTTTTACTATATTTTTTTGAAACACCAATTTAATGTAATGTGAATTGTTTTCTCCTGAGTGAGGGGAGACAACTTGGTACAGTTTTCTTGTGTTGGTTGTGAGTGATACCATTAAGTAAAGTCAAAAATAGATTTTATTAACGGTGTTTGAATATTTTTTGTTTGTTTGTTGAGTTGGTGTGTAAATTTTGTTTCAGGCAACAATTTTAAAACATTCTTTTGTTTAGGGGTGGGGGTGGTGGAGTGGTAGTGTGCTTGATAGTTTATCTGAAAATCTCAAGTTCAATTCTCGATAAGATGTGTCCGAGTCAACCTAGCTCTAATAGGGACCTGGCATGTGTCGAGGATTGTTGAGACAGATGGACATAGTGTTGACAACACTATTCCATTATATGCTGAGCTCACAGAAACAAACTCTACTTTATCCATCAGGTCTGAAAGTGTACTTCTTATAGTTGTTTGGGGGTTACAAAAAATAAACAGATGAGAGCATTATCCAAGCAAGACAGAAAGTTGATTCTGAAATGGGGTTAAGGGTGAAGATCAAGGCCTTACCTGAAGACCAGATTGGGATCCATGCCATCATTGGCGACCAGCCACGCCCCAAATCTGAAGGCACCAGCGTACATGAAGAAGATGACACCCTGGGAGAAGGCGTAGGATAGCCCGTAGATATGTGCCTGCTTGATGTTCTCACTGGAAACATGCATGGTACATCATTAACTTAATGTATGACATGAAAAGATTTTAGATATGGGCCTGCTTGATGTTCTCACTGGAAACATGTATGATACATCATTAACTTAATGTATGACATGAAAAGATTTTAGATATGGGCCTGCTTGATGTTCTCACTGGAAACATGCATGGTACATCATTAACTTAATGTATGACATGAAAAGATTTTAGATATGGGCCTGCTTGATGTTCTCACTGGAAACATGTATGATACATCATTAACTTAATGGATGACATGAAAAGATTTTAGATATGGGCCTGCTTAAATTTTCTCACTGGAAACATGTATGATACATCATTAACCTAATGTATGACATGAAAAGATTGTTGCCTGTGAAAGAAAAAAAGCCACAGTGACGTGGGCCCAACTTGGAGGAATCGGCCAAAACCAAGTACGGTGGAGAGGTGGTTGTGTCCCTGTGCTCCATAAGGGCTCCACGGGAATGATTATGGTGATGATGACAAAAACATTTGAGCAGGTTTTTACCTGTGAGGCTTGACCAGCTGTTCGCAATACTGGTCATAAAAATATGGCTCTCTGGTCAAAGCTTGGACAGTTCTTATATTCTCTATACACTCACTGGCTGTCTAAATATCAAAACAAGAATATACAAAACAATAAAAAACAACACATCATTCTGAACAGCTCTTATACATGAATATTCAGCTAATTTGAATAACAATAACATTTTGAAAAGCTACTGGGGATTACACCTCATATTTTATTGAGTTGAAACTATAGTGAAAACTGATGTAGGCAAACATCTTATATTATTTTAATGTAATACTTAAGAAAACGAAATTTATCAGATTAAAATTCTGATTTGGCTTACTTTTCCTGCTTCCTCCAGCAACTTAGAATCTCTCATTTGGTTTCTTTTCAGTAATTTCATGTTGATCATTCCTGAAAGAAAGTAAAAACTTATTGACAGCATTTGGCCAGGAAACTCAATTCATGTCTAGATGTTAGAATTGATTCTAAAGAAGATGTTATACATGGAATAAGTTTTAGACATTTTTTTCTTACTCTAATCCAATTCATGTACAAATTTTATTACTGATTTTAAAATAGGAGTGTTTAAATTGTGCAGTAAAGAAAATAATATAAGCAAGGGGTCCTGGCTTCAAATACTGGTCAACCAGCTTCCCAAATTTTTAGCTAACAAGGCACTAAGAAATGAAGAAATAAATAGCCACTGGGAATGTTTCTTCGACTCTATTAATCTGTATGAGTTTTTTTTTAAAATTAAGTGGGCTCTACACAATCTGCTTTGATGGTTAAGTTTCCCTTTCAAACCTGACGGTCTATGGGGCAAGTGAAGTAGAGTTCACTTGTTTCTGTGACCTCGGCATATGAAGAGATAGTGTGGTCAGCAGTATGCCCAGCCGCTTTTACTTTCCCTAACGTGAGTTAGGTACCCATCAGTGTTGGGTGGACTCAGGGACGGTCTACTGGCTTGAACCCGGATTCAAACTGGAGACTTACGGATTAGCAGTCCAGCTCTCTAATGCTAGACCACTCAGTCCCATGCTTTGATGGTTGCTGTCTTGAAAAGTAACTAGACTTTCTTATTTTCTAGATTTAAAAAAATCCTGTGTTTTACAAGATAAAGCAAGGATTGTATATTACATGATAAGGCAAGGATTGTGTTTTACCTGATAAGGCAAGGATTGTGTACCTGATAAGGCAAGGATTGGAACTCCAGCCAATACAGCCAGTGCCAGCTTCCAACCAAAAGCAAAAGCAATTCCCAAACCAGCTCCCATTGAAGTAATGGACTGAACAATGGTTGCCAGTCTGATGCCTGTAGCCTGGGGAACGGAATAGAACTTTTATGGCTGCGCTCATTTTTGATAATAGCTGTGAAGCATATCATCACGTTAACAGTTACTTTCATGAATACCTTTCCCCCAAACAAAACAGAAGTTATATACAAAATATATACTTTAACCAGTGTTCACCCCTCCAGAAAATTTAAGCCCCTTCATCCCCAAAAGTTTCAAGTGCCCTTTTGGAAAAAAATGTCTGAATGAAACACTGCAAGTTAAGTACTGGCAGTGTTTATTTCTGTCAATAATGACCTAGATAAATAAATGCAGTGTAACAATTTTATATGTTAAGCTTTGGCTATCTTCACATGTCTGAAAATATAAATCATCTAGTGACAGCAATGATATATCTCCATGTTACATGATTACCATCTTATTTTTGACAATGATATCGCCCAGTCTAAACCTCCAGCAGATAAATTGCAGAACGATGATCAACTTCAATTTTGATCAACCAAAAACTCGAGATCAAACAAGTACTTAGCGACAGTATTGAAAGAAATGTATGTCAAACGTCTTACATTTTTAACCATTGATGCATCGGTTGCCAAGCGGGTTGTTAGAGCCCCAGTGGAATGTTTAGGGTTGTCAAAATATTCAACATCCTGTCGTAGAATGTTCTGGAATGTTCGGTGCCTGAGTCGCTTTGTTAGACGTTCACCGGAGAAACCAAAAGAAACATTCTATACGAGAAAAATTTTTCCATTTTAACAATGAATGAAATAATTATTTCTAAAAAATTTATAAGTTCTGAGTAAAATTAAACAACGCAATTAAAAATGACATAAATAAAATCTAAACGGTGAGTTCACATTTCTCTTGCATGGTTTCTTATTAATTGTTTCAGTTATTTATTCCGACTAAAATGATATGGTAAAAACATCATGTTTTGTTTTTGTTTCTTGATGATTTTCTTCTAGTATTTTTGTTTTTATATTTCATATTTTGACTAGCCCTAATACACAAAAACCTAATATACAAAAACCTTTACGCATATCACTCTGCAACATCACATCATTCTTTAAAAATTCATAATTGATGTCTTTCTATGATTTAATTTATGGTAACTTATAATGTATTTTAAAAAATAAATATCACAAAATACTTATCATACTATATGCCAGTTAGTTAAAACAAGTTTGTTTTCTTAATACAGTTCTTACTTTTTTAATTAACGCTTAACAAATCCTATAGTTAGGTTCCCTTTGAAACCTGACAATCTATGGGGCAAATGAAGTAGAGTTCACCTGTTTTATGTGACCTTGGCATATGAAACCCAACCTATCCTATAGAATTCAAATAATTGTGGTGACTATTTTATAATTCGGCCAGGTAGTTCAATGTTTTTTTAACCTGCAATACGTGGGCAACAAATGAAAGACCGCCTAATGCAATAAACATCATGCTCCAGAACAAGCCTTCATCCAGCAGGTCTTGGCCAGATTTTCCAAACGTCTGCAAGGTAAAGTAAAAAATCAATCTACAAAACTTGCTGCAACTAAATTTTGAATACACCAGTTTACAGTACTAAGAAGGATAATACTAATAATTTAGTAAACAATAATTTATTTTCAATTCAAGTTATGCATTTCTATATGATGTCTGATATTTATGATTCAAATAACAATTAAGGTTGCAACTGCTATAAAGAATGATAAAGCTCAGTTTTACTTACAGTGATAATTTGGCTAAAAAACACAGCATAGACAGGCATTATTGAACCATTTACAATAGCACCAAAGCAGCCAACTATAATAAAGGGCCATTCTTTTAAGTTTGACTTGAACATGCGAATAAATCCTGGCTTAAGAACATCTGCGTCCTGAGTGCAAAATAAATCATTATTAAAAATTGCAAATAAAATATTCAATTTATATTAATACATTGTTTTTAAAAAGCCTTTAAAGCTTATACTCTGTGAAAATAAAGCTTAGGTTTTTAAAAAATATGATATAGACCCAGATCTGTATGGAATTTTTAATAAATACACACCTAAGAAAATATGTAGGTTATAATAGTCTATTTATATATGCATAACGGCCTACTTCTTAATTTAAAAAAAAACATTATTTTTAATTTGTTGCTAGATTTATATATTTGTTTTGAGCCTTTTAATTAAGTGAAGGTTTTTATCTTGTTCAGACAACTGATACCAACCTCCTCTTCCTCAGCAGCTGCAGTCTTAGACTTGAACAAATTAGACTTTTTAGCTTTAGCCCCTCCATCAGCACTCTGTATTGAGACCTGCTGTGTTAGCACTTTCTTCTGGGAATGTTGGCGTGAAATGCTTCTGTCTACTTTCTTTTCTGACATTGTCTGATCATTTTCTTGAAATCCTAAAAGAATTAATTAATGTTTTAATTTATTTGTTTTGTTTTTTAATTTAGTTGAAAAAATTTTTCAAATCATGATGTTGCTAAGAAAAATAATAAACAATAACTGCAGGAAAATGAGTTGACCAAAAAAAAAAAAATCTGCTAAACAGCTTTTAACAATTTTCAGTTTAACTTTAAAAAATTTAATTTAATTTTTAAAGTAATGTTTTGATGTACAGACCTTCATCATCATGACCAGCTAAAGTCTGTAGGGTGACCAGGTTGTAGTATGCCCCTTTTAGCTTCATCAGCTCCTGGTGTTTCCCTTTCTCCACTACCTCCCCTCCATCCAGCACATAAATAACATCAGCATTTTGAATGGTGGACAAACGATGAGCAACAACAACAGTTGTTCTGCCTTCCCTCGCCTAAAGATTTGCACAGTGAATAAAATAATTAAGATAAGTCAGAATAAAAATATTTCTGACCACTTATAAAAGTGTTAAACTTTAACAGGCAAATATAACTATTAACGAAACCATAAATATTCTGTATGAAATCTTTAAATAGAACAAACCCCAATACTTTATTTGTAACCCACAAAGCCTTAGATTTAAGACGACCCTAATTTTTTCATACATGTTTTATAAACCTTTAAAATGTGCTTCACTAAACCATCTATGTAATATGTTAAGACAAACCACCTCCTTCCTTTTAAAATTCAATTTATTCAATGGCCAATGTGTAAAACAAAAATCAAATAGCCTACTATTGTTACAGTTACAATGTGGTTTTATTTTAAAATGTAATCATCAGACCAATTATTACACAGCACTAACCTTATCAAGAGCAGCTTGTACAATGCCTTCACTCTCCGAGTCTAGAGCAGATGTTGCTTCATCCAACAACAAAATTTTTGGGTCTCTGACTAGTGCTCTGGCTATTGCCACTCTTTGCTTTTGGCCTCCAGACAGCTGAGCTCCTCTCTCCCCAACTAGAGTGTCGTATCCCTGAAATATGGAACATATGACATCAAATCTTTTTTATTTCTTTCAGCATTAACTAATAAACAAAGATTATACAAAAGTTGCAGAAATTAAAAAAAAACAAAAAAAAACTGAAAAATGCCATGCAGCATTAAGGTGAAAGTGATATATAACCAAAACTCTAAAAGTAAAAGACCAACAGGCAGGCCTAAGCTAAGGTGATGGAGACAGACCTATGGCAGCTTGGAGTCCAGATATAGAAAAAAAAAAGCAGCAGATAAATCTGGATGGAGGAAGGCGGTGAAGCAGAAAAAAGCCCTCCCTGGGCTGAATTGCCAGAGGGGATTTACATGTCTATGCTTGGGTAGAAGAAAATAAACTAATTAAATTACAAAAAATAAAAGTATTACTTTGGGTAAATTTGAAATGAAATCATGCGCATTTGCCATTTTGGCAGCCCTGTGAATCTCCTCCATGGTAATGCCAGGTTGGCCGAGGGCAATATTTTGTGAGATTGACAGGCCAAACAGGATGGGCTCCTGGGAGACAACTCCAATGTTTTTTCTAAGCCAGTGGATATTCAAGTCTTTTATATCCAGCCCATCTAAAAGGACCTATGAAAATATAGAGAAACCTCAAGATTATTTAGTTTATCAATATTTAGAAATATATTAACATGTAATATTTAATATCTACTATACATACAAATAACACAATTAAGTCCTAATCGAATTTAAGGTACTTTGTTAAAAGGTCATATTTGCAGGTGAGAATAACATTGTAAGTTTGATGATAAGTGAAAATCAAACCATTAAAAAATATGATCTATTGTAAAATTTAAAAGACTAAAGCAAGTTTTATAAAAATAAATTAAAGAAACTCATTAAACTTTTAAATTTAGTTCAAAGCCTTTTTTGATAGTGATAAATTTACTGCCCTAAATATAATAATATCCTAATTCTGTTCTTAAAGTGAATAGAACAAGTAGACCTAACCTTTCCCTCATCTGGGTCATAGAATCTCTGAACCAGGTTGACTATGGTTGACTTGCCACACCCACTGCTGCCCACCAATGCTACAGTCTGACCTGGCTCAATGTCCACAGAGAAATGTTTGAGAACCTGTTGACACAGCAATATCATAATTTACATCTGAACTGTTTAAGAAGAATTATCAGCATCCTATCCTGTTTGTGCCCAAGACACATGGTGATGAAGTAGAGTTGTCCTGTTTCAAAGACCTTGGCATACAGGAGGGGTAGTGTGGTCAGCATTATGCCCAGTTGCTTTTGCTTCCTTAATGTGAGCCAGATACAACTCAGAGCTAGGTTGACTCAGGAACGTTGTATAATATGCAGCCCGGGAATCGAACTAGAGACTTTCAGGTAGACAGTTGCAAGCTCTACCATCTGATAACACCATCCCTACTATAGCGGAATAGTGTTTCTTGAATGAATATTGAGAAAAGTTAAAGTTAAGATGGAAAAATTTATTTATGGCTCACCTTAACCTCTGGTCGAGATGGATAAGAAAACTGAACTTCCTTAAACTGGATAAAGCCATTGGTGGAGGCTGGCTTTTCACCCACAGGATTGGATGAATCTATTGTTGGTTTCTGTCAAAGATTTATAAATGTAGGAATTTATTTATTTTAGAATTGGATGAATCTATTGTTGGTTTCTGTCAGAGATTTATAAAAATATATTGTAGAAATTTATTTATTTTAGAATTGGTTGAATGTATTCTAGGTTTCTCTCAAAGATTTATAAAAAATATGTTGTAGAAATTTATTTATTTTAGAATTGGTTGAATGTATTGTTGCTTTCTGTCAAAGATTTATACAAAATTTAGGAATTTTTTTTTTTTAGAATTTGATGAATCTATTCTTGGTTTCTGTGAAAGGTTTATAAATAATGTAGGAATTTATTTATTATGGAATAGCATTAACAGAATTTGAGTTAATTTTGTGGTTTGATTTTCACATGTTTTTCTAAAATTCTACATACAGTGCTAAAAGCTTCTTACATCTTTGATGATGGTGAAGATGGTGCCTCCTGCACCCTTGGCTGTGAGTACTGATGTGATGTGAGGTGAGGCACTGCCGAGTGCGAAGGAACCTATCATGACGCTGAAGAAGACAGTGAACACATCCCCCGGGGACAAACCTTCATGCCCTCCACTAGAGTTGTACGAGTCCACTTGAGTAGAGCCAAACCTGTACACAAAGTGAGGTTTTCTTCCCTTACATTTTTATCCATTAATAACATTTAATTTTAAAGTCATCATCATTAATTTCCCTTACATTTTTATCCCTTAATAACAGTTAGTTATAAAGTCATCATCATAATTCCTGTGGAGCCCTTGTGGATCATAGGTCACAACCACACCTCTCCATCCTACTCACTTCTGGGCTATTCCTCTAAGTTGGGCCCAGTGTTTCTTTCAGACTTATTTTTCTCCCGGGGGGGGGGGAGAGGGGGGGGGCAATAGGTTTTTTCAAAGGGGGGGGGGGGGGGGGAGACTAAATTTTCTGAGGGGGCGGACACTGGTAAAAGTATATATTTTTATATATACTTGCCTGGAAGAAACTCTGGTTGGGCCCATGACTAACTAAAAAGTATTTTACTAAATTACAGGCTTACTGTTAAATAATATAATTTTAATTTTTTACATAGAATTTATGTTGATAGCATTAAAAATATTTTTTTAAATATTTCAATATAAATGTTCAGGTTTAAATATATTTTTTAAAATCAAGGAATGCTCTACTATTATACAATATTTCATGGGCAAGCTGAATCTTAACATTCTTTTACAATTAATTATCCACAATTTTTAATTCTTTCAAAATAAAATTAAAAAAAAAAAGGTACTATACAGATTACTTACACATACATATTTTTAAATGCTGTATTAACAAAAAATTTACAAACCAATTATAAATAATGACACAATTAAACTTATTGCTAAAAATTTAATGAATGAAAATTAGGAGTGACGTACCAGAATGCCAGGCCATAAGCGCAGAACATAATGAGAAATGTGAGACCCACACTTAGACCAGCAAACCAGGACTTTCTTATTCCAAGTTTTTTACTTTCCTCTAGAGCATGTGAGTATCTGAAAATATTTATCAAGTGAAACAAAATAAAATAAATGCTTTGAAGATCTGCAAATGAAAAATATGAAATACACTGTGAACATACAACAAAGTTTAGGAGATAATTTTTTTAACTAAAAGGTTCTGTAAAACAAAAATATTTATCTTCTTCTAAAGCCTATATCTGGTGTATACAAATAAAATGAAATAAATATCTTTATTTTCATTGTTTGAAGTTTTAAAGATGTGTAATGAGGCTACACTTACTTTTTGATTTCCTTGGAATGACCATTGAAGGAGATTACAGTTCTAATACAGGACAGAACTTCCTCTGCTATGGCCCCAGCCTTGGCATATTTTTCTTGTTCTCTGGCGCTATAGGAAGCCATTAACTGAAAAATTAAATTGATTAGTTACCAGGAACAAATTTCAGTAAAACGGAACAGCTTAACAAAAAAAAAAGGTTTTAATATATATCTTAGAATTTAAAACTGAAAATGCGAATTAATTATTAAAATAAAAAGGGGGCATAATAATTTACATTACCTTTCCCAAGACAGCAGCACATATAGCTAAAAGTGGGGTCAAGGACATTAAAACCAAGGTCATCTTCCAGCCTTTGACAAAGCCTAACAAGATACCAGCTAGAAACTGGGATAAGAATTGAATGGCAAGACCAGTTTTATCTCCGATTCCTTCCTTCACTCTCTCCAGATCACTAAAATTATGGGTGAACCAAATAGTATAAGTTTGCAAACTCGGTAGCTTATTCTTATTTATAAGAAACAATCATATTTTCAGTGACAAAAATTGAGGGTTTTATACTATTTAAATTTTTTTTTACTGAGCAATAAAAATCCCTAAAACATAGTGGCAAGGTGTGTCACGTCAAATATAGATTAAGCTATAGCAAGCTTACATGTAGTAACAGGTGAGGGAAAGTGATACATTTACATTGCATTTTGTTATTGATGCTTCTGTAGGCCTATTTACTTTCTGAAATAATATTAGCTGCCTAAATACATACACAGGCTAACAAGAAACCACTTAGGCATATCATATTTTCACACAACCTGGCTAGTTTCAATACAGGCCTATAATACCTAAGCTAGCACTAATTGGCTAGCCTTATAAAGGTGCCAAAAAACAAGCCACATAAAAAGTAAGGTACCATTTCAGACCAGATGGTCCATGGAGAAGATAAAGTAGAGTTCATCTGTTTCTCTGATATTGGCATATGCACATAAAGTAACTAAAAATATGCCCTACACAAAATGTTTTAACACATAAGCTATATAAAATAAACCGGGCGTGATCTCCCCTAAACTTTCTCGAATATTCTAATATAACACTACGGGGGATGGCAACTCGGGATATAGACTTTTAGACATGATTTTTAATCCATTTTAATTACTCAAATTTTTAAAAATAGAATATAATCTCTTAGAAAAAAGAAATGCACACCAAGTGAACGCTAAATAAAGATGTGCATAATAGTGCGCAATATTATTAGTACTTTATACATTTACATGCGTTTTTTTGAGAAATCGGAAATAGCGTAAATTAGTACTTCCGGTCAACGGAAATTACTCAAAATTTGACAGAAATAGTACTCAAGTTATAGGCTTTTGAAAAATTCAAAGTACCACTTCTGGTTATCGGAAATCGCTCAAAAGTTGATACGGATCTACGATTTTGATAAAATACTTATATATGAAATTTCATCAACCTAGCTGTAACAGTACTCAAGTTATCGTGTTTACACACGGACACACACACACACACACACAGACACACACAGACACACAGACATACGGACAAGATTGCAAAATTATGTTTTTCCGTATCAGTGAGATGTAAAACGTCGAGATTTGCAACAATCTTGATTTTTTTTTTTGCACGATTACAAGACTTTCTCTATACTTCGTATATACGAGAAAGTAAAAAAGAATACCCTACTCTGCCAATCTTGTTGTGAGCTCTCCACTTTGCTGTTTGTCGTACCAGGCAATATTTTCTCTCAGTAGAGATCTGAAGAATACTTTCCGCAGCTTTAGTATCTGCCTCTCACATGATATTTGTAGAAAAGCAATCTGTCAAATTTATAGGTTAATTTATTTGAAATAAACTGTTAAGTTTAATTGCTAATAAAAAGAGTTAAAGTTAAGGAGTAGCTTTGGTTAATATGAAAGCGTAATTGAATTAAATTTATATTTCATTTTATTGCCATAACTAAAATGGTTTTGAAAAACGTATTGTTCATTATAAGGTTTTAAAAAGTAAAAATCATTTTAAACTGTGAAGATGAGGTTAAGAGATAAAGTCATTGAAGAATAAACATTACATTTTAAACCCAGAGATCTGATACCTGTTTGATAATAATAATAAATAGGCATACACCATTGACATTTTTGAGTCACATTAAGATAAGATTTGGGACACTCCAGTGCACGAAGGTAAACAACTGTAGCAACCTACGTGTATGTATGTAGTAGCAGAGTATGAGGGCATACTGTGAATGGTCTCTTTGAACCAGTAGCGTAGCGAGGGGGCGGGGGGGGGGGGGCTATGTCCCTGGGCGCCGACCTTAGGGGGCGCAAAAATGGGTTGGAAAAATAAATTGAAAGGTTGAGGGGGGGGGGGTGCAAATCGAAAGTTTGAGGGGGGTGCAAATCGAAATCTTGAGGGGGGGGGGGGTTGCAAATCGAAAAGTTTGTCCCCGGGCGCCGGGGAGGGTCGCTACGCCTCTGCTTTGAACAGGTAAATTACTATAGAAACCTATGTGTAGGTATGTAGTAGCACTGTATAAGGGCATACTATGTTTGAACCATAACTTTCAGAACCTACGTGTATGTATGTAGCAGCTGAGTATGAGGGTATACTGTGTTATGGTCTCTTTAAGCAGGTAAGTAATTCAAGGAACCTACGTGTATGTATGTGGCAGCACACACGCCAATGCCAATGTAGACATATTTGAGGGCGTACTGTGTCATGGTATCCTCAAACCCAGCCATAGAGAAGTTCCCTGTGGTCGTGTTGGTGCCATTGAGCGCTGTGCCATTGTGACCATCTGAAATAACATCACACAGAATATTACACTTTTAAGATTATTATGTTTTTTTTTTGTAAACATAAAAAGTGACACTCTCGGATCTAACAAGACCATACAAAGACGATGTTATTACAGCACCATATCATGCGATATCATAGCAGAAATAATGGGAATACTATACACAATTTTACTAATTATAACGGTACAATACTATGACAGTACGATGGCATTGCACAACAATTCTAGAACAGAACGATATTCTAACAGTACAGTAACATAATTCAACGATACTATAACAGGACGATATTATAACTGGCCGATACTATTGCAATACGATGTCATATAACGATAATATAACAAAACAATACTATTGTAAATCGATGCCAAAACACAGCGATACTATTACAAAACGATATTATAACAGGACGATACTATTAGAGAACGATACCTAACTTAGAGGAGCTATAAAATGAACTATATTAGAATAGGACGATATTATAACAATACGATACCACAACTAAACGATACTGTAAAATGAGCGATATTATAATTCAATACTATTCCAGATCGACAACATAAGACAACGATACTGTAACAGAACTATATTATAACAGGACGATACTATTACGGTACGATGCTATTTAACAGCACGATACCGGTACTCACAGTTAATGAAGTCGTTGGTCATGTTGCCAAAGATGAGAAACAGAAGTGGCCATGACGCGCCATGAGCAGCAGCCGTCAGGATCCCGATCAGTATAAGCAGTTTGTCTCCACATGTGGCGTAGGAAAACTAAAGGGCAAAGGTCAAGCTTAAAATAGTTGATGCACGGAGGATCTAACGAAGTCAACATAAATTGTCACGATACATATCTAGTTAATGAATTTTAAAACTCGAACAGATGTGTTAAATAATAAGAAAAAAATTTAAAGGATCTCGCTCTTAAAGAAGGTCATACTCTTATTTTTGAAGATTTTTTTAACCACCCTCCCCCCCCCCCCCCCCCCCCAGAAATTCAAAAATGTCTGACAATCCCTTCTAAAATGACATCACACTTCAGACTACTTCACCCCCCTCCCCACCCACATTTTTTATAAACAATATTGTATGAGTTGTCTAGCTTTTATTCATCGCTTTATATTTTACGAAAACTGTCACTGAAAACGAGAAATAATTGCTAAAACTTTGTAAAAAACCCACAATGAAATGGTACGTCACCCTTTATGAATCGACTCATCACACATCGTCACTTACAGAATTTCTTTCAAACATCTCTTGGGAGGGGGTGGGGTGGTAGACGTTCTTCGGGGAGCCCCCCCCCCCCCCAAAAAAAAAGAAATATAATTTATATAGAAAATATATACTTTATCATTGTTAGCCCCCCCCCCTCTCCGTAAATTTATAGTCCGCCCTCCACTCCGAAAATTTCAAGTGCCCCCCCCCCCCCCTCCACGGAGAAAAAAATCTGGAAGAAACACTGGTCACTTAAGTTCGATCCACACCAGCCCCCCCCCCCCCCCCCCCCTTTTTTTTTTTGTAGGCGTGTGAGGTCATCTATGGTCTACTGAAAATATACAAGTCTCGATAAATTGAAATTAAACATTCAACAATTATAAGCCAAAAAAAAAAAAACCCCAGCGTGTAAAATAAAGGTTCCAACAATAGACCTGCTGTATCTGTGCGCATATTAGAATTAATTCGTGTAGGATAATGTGGGTAGCTTTAAAAAACCTAAGCAGAAGGGTATTGACCCTCCATACCTAGCGCATCACTTACTAGTTCTGAGAAGGTTGCTGTCCGTTTTGTTTCTTTCTCCTTCTTATCTTCTCTGAAATAAAAGAAGCAAAAATAAATAGCTTTAATAAGCGCGCATTTTTGAGGATGTAAGTCATCTCAAGTCATGTGTCTTGGGAATATAGGCAGCAGTCTTAAAAATGTGCATTTTCAGTGATATTGGACATCCTGTCATGTACATTCTGGGGGATATTGGCCATCCTAAGTCATGTACATTCTGGGGGTTATTGGCCATTCTAAGTCATGTACATTTGGGGGATATTGGCCATCCTAAGTCATGTACATTCTGGGGGATATTGGCCATCCGAAGTCATATACATTCTGGAGGATATTGGCCGTTCTAAGTCATGTACATTCTAGGGGAATTAGGCCGTCTTAAGTCATATACATTTTGGGAGATATTGGCCATCTATTATGTATATTTAGAGGATTTTGACTGTATTGTGAACAATCGTTGTTTAACATGCTGTGAATGCGAGAACAGTCATAACAGACTTCAACAGAAACATATGAAATGAGGCAAATATGGCCGAGCATCAGAGCGTTTGATGGCGAACTAGATAAACTCTGTCCCCAACCAAGGGGGGGGGCGAACGTAGTGGATTCAGACCCAGTATACTTTATAAATTAAAAGAAGAAATGTTGGGTATGCTACAGATATTGCGCGAGAGAGTTTTAATAATTTGGCTGACGCTGTTCTACATTTATGTAGTTTCGGCAAACACAATCCAAACTGTAATCGTTTTTTATATTAAGGTAAAAAATAAAAAAATCAGAGCGTTTGAAATAGCACAATAATGGTCCCTCATACTACAACAAAACAGGTATTCTTCTATCTAATGTGATAGATACACAGTGCTCTAAGTACATCTAAGTTGGCCCATGTTCTTGTCTCCGTTATGTAAACAGATTTGTTTCCCATGTTGATTTCCTGAGCACAAATACTTAAGCCAGTCTTTTACGACATGCTATATATTTAACGCATCTGTTTCATGTTTGTTCTTTATTATCAGTAACTTCCTCTGAATAACACTTATAAAGCCATTCCTTGGTATCACGCCATACAAGATTTTGATTTATTGCTGGAAATTTCCTGCTTAGTTAGATTTAGGTTGATAGCTATGATGCTTGTTAGAGCAAGACAGTGTTTCTTTCAGACTTTTTTCTCCAGGGGGAGGGAGACTTGAAACTTTCGAAGGGGGGGGGGGGGGGAGCGGACTAAAAGTATATATTTTCAATATAAATTCTATTTCGATCGGGTGGTAGGGGTTATACATGCTTGTTGGGGGGGGGGGGGGTCTGTAAACGTGCTTCGAGAGGGGGGGGGGGATGCCTGAAAGACTGGGGCTAGAGTTGGGATTGGGTTGGGTATCTCAGCGCTACAAATTATTTCAAGTATCAGATTTTTTCATTCATCGTTTGTCTGTCAAAGGCTAAACAAAAGAAAGGTACCAGCTTATTTCAACAAACATGACCCAAGTGACCCTTGTTGTGAGATAACCCGCGTGTGTCACCGTGTCGTAAGTAGGACACACACACACAAACACACACACACACACACAACTTGGTCTAACTTCTGGTCGAAAAGTGGACCAAGTTCGACCACTCTGACTGATGAAATGAAAACAAGAGTTGGTGTCTAATGGTGTAATCCCTCCACAAAGTTTCGTATGCTGTGAATGTTAGTCATCGAGTACGACAGTTACATCAGAAATATTGAGTGTTTGTGTTGAACCATAGTGAGCTAAAATGTTAGTCAGCTAGTATGACAGTCAAATCAGAAAGATTTCATGTTGAGCCATAGTGAACTAAAATGTTAGTCACCTAGTAAGACAGTTAAATCGGAGAGATTTAGTGTTGTGTTGAGTCACAGTGACTTCAAATATTAGTCACTGAACGAAGAACTTATTAGTTTTTTTTTGTTGTAAATTTATCAGGGGGAAGGGTATAGCTGGGATGGGGTGGGGATAGAAATGAGGGGGGGGGGTTTGAGGTCTGACCCAGAGGCGTAGCGATGGGGCGGGGGGTACATATGTCCCCGGGCGCCAACCCTAGGGGCGTCAAAACGGGTTGAAAAAAATTAAATTGAAAGTTTGTTCTCAGGCGCCAGGAGGGGTCGCTACGCCTCTGGTCTGACGGTATTTGCCGCAGCCCCCAAGTTACTAAAGGCGATATTCATCTTCAGATATAATTATTGAATAAATTAATGAGTGGTAGCTTAATTAAAATTCGGCCAATGGAAAAAGTATGCAGCACGTTTTCAGTGATTATCACACTAAAAAGTATGTAGTAGGTTTCTTCAGTAATTATCACACTAAAAGTGTGCAGTAAGTTTTCAGTGATCACGATATTGACTACATTAATAAAAGTTGTTAGCAAAAATACACAAACGTATACCTTCAGATAAAATTATTGAATAAATTAATGTGTGGTAGCTACATTAAAATTCGGCCCTATGGAAAAAAGTATACAGTAAGTTTTCAGTAATTACCACACTAAAAGTATTGACGTTGACTTTATTAATTATAGTTTTTAGCAAAAATTTATAAACGTACAACTAAAGAAACTTGGTTTTTAAAAAACTTTTCGCTAAAAATCTATGATAGAAAAACTCTGTTGTTTGGTGTTTTATTTAATTAATAAATAATTAATAAAATTATTTATTTTAAAATTTTGAATTCCTAGTTACTGATAGGTAGAAAAAAAAGGGGGAAAATCATTTTAATAACACGCTTTTAAATGCACTAAAATATTATTAATGTATAGTTTTATTTTTATTTTTAGTGCTTAGAAATAGAATTTTTAATAATGGTTTTATTATATAAAGCAATATGAAGACTATATATTTAGAATTTAAAAAAATTGATTATTTTTAAAAATATATCTCGTCTTATAACAAGTTAATTGAATGTAGTTTTCAAAGAACGTAAAGTATAAGATAACGAAGTAAAATATACCTTTGGGGCAAGTCCTCTAATATTGTTAACCCGAAATAATTATGTGCAATGTTTGTTTTTTGACACCCAAAAAGTTTACCAAACCCATAAAACCCATACACTGTTTTCAAGTACTCTCAGAATCTAAATATACCGTCTCAATTTTTAAAGTTGAAAAAAGTAGACAATGAACAAAAACACCCACAATCATTTTGAAAAGCAAAGATTTATAAATAAAAAATAAGACGGATCTTTGAAAACTAAAAATAAATCTACTTTACTAGGCCAATAATTAACCAGTTTAGCATTTAAAGTGGGGTTTCCTAAAAAAATTTAAGTAATGGACTGGGTTTGGAAACGACTTGAACACGTAATGTTTTTAAACATAAACACAGTGGTGGTGGGGGGGGGGGGGGGGAAGGGTGGAGATGAATCAAAGAATTGTATATTATTCCTTATAACTTTTAAAACTATTCAGCTTGAAAGTTCTTATATAAATATCCTTCTGACACTGTAATAAGTTCTAAAAGGTAAATCAATGAGGAAGGACGAACTATACTTATCATCTGTTTGATCTTTGCCCGGCGTAGCTCCGTTCTTTGTTTTGTTTACAACTCCATTTTTTTCTTTATATTTACCACCCTTTTGGCCGTTAGCGGCACCAGGACTGTCTAGTTTGTATGAACTTGGCATTTTTTATTTAGTGCACGCACAGAGTCTGTCGTTTCGAATTTTATTTACATTAAACATCAGCTTGGTGCCAAGTACTTTAAATGTTATTATTGTTTTTTGTTGTTATTTTAAAAAAAAAATTATTTTAACGTGGCAAGAAGAGATTATTCTTACAACAAATACAACATAAATATCGGCAACGCTGAACAAAAGTATCTACACTAACACAACCCTCTATTAATAAAAATAAAATAAAAAACAATGTACATTTAGTCAAAGACTAATAAAAACAAACTGAATAAATAAACACAACACAAGAAAAACAAAATAGAGGGAAATCACTCAAAACATCAGAAAGAAAAAAACGGAATTCACAAAATTCCCACCAAGCACTAACGACATCAATGACAACTAATTAAAAACTTTACATCCGTAAAACAAAAAACAACCAACTAATAGATCTCATTTAAAATATTACCGGATTAAACGAATGAGCTAAAAATAATGTAAACTCCGTTTAAGTTAATAGATCTGAAAGCCCGACAAAACTCCTAAATATCTCTC